TGCTGGAGTAGGCAAATGCGGTACCCTGAGTTGTGTATCGAATGCAGTGTGTCAGGGGCCATCCCTAGAAAACTCATTACATTAAGAGAGCACAGAAGAGCCGGGCGGTGGTGACGCACGCCTTTAATCCCAGCACTCGGGAGGCAGAGGCAGGCAGATCTCTGTGAGTTCGAGACCAGCCTGGTCTACAAGAGCTAGTTCCAGGACAGCCTCCAAAGCCACAGAGAAACCCTGTCTCGAAAAACCAAACAAAAAAAGCACAGAGGGTGCTGAAGATGCCTCAGAGGTTAAGCCATTTTACTGCTCTTCCAGACGCCCCAAGTTCGGTTCTGCCACCCCAAAACTCGAATTACAGTTTAGGGGATCGGATCATAGCAAACATCAGCAGATACGCTCACACAAAAGTAAACACATTTTAAAAGTATCATGCAAGGTATGGTGGGGCGGGGGAACAGAAGTAGACCACGTGATAAAAATAGGCAACTGATCACATAGACCCCTAGAAAACTAGGAGAGTAACTTTGATAACCCGGTAAGAATATTCAGCAGAAGTTAAAAGCAATTTTTTTTTTCAGGCTGGCCTCGAACTCAAGGCCTGCCTCTGCCTCCGGAATGCTGATATTAAACGCATTTGCTACCACAGCTCCAACCAAAGCAAAGACCTTAATAGAAAAAACTTTCTTTGAAAATGGGGGAATAAACATGAATGTCTTCCTTTGCTTCTGTTTCAGTGCATAGCACTTTAGCACAACAATAGAAACCCCAAGACTGCTCACACACACACACACACACACACACACACACACACACACACACACACACACACACACACACACACAAAATCTTAAAAACACACCTCAGTGCTGGGCGTTGGTGGCGCACACCTTTAATCCCAGCACTCCCGAGGAAGAGGCAGGCGGATCTCTGTGAGTGGAGGCCAGCCTGGTCTCCAGAGAGAGTGCCAGGATAGGCTCCAAAGCTACACAGAGAAACCCTGTCCCGAAAAACCAAAAACAAGCAAGCAAGCAAACAAAAAAACCACTTCAGGTTGAGGTACAGCTCAGTTGTAGAGCTCTTAGACAGTTTGTGTAAAAGTGGCCTTGGGTTTCAAGTGCTAGGGAGTTAAAACCAGAACCTTAAGCATACTAGGCAAGTAGTCTATCAAAAAAACAGTATTTCCAACGTGTGATGTTTTAAAGTGCATATAATTCGATTTCAGCACTACAAACAAGCTACAAAACAGTTATCACAAGGAACTTGCGGGGCAATACAGTTTTCAGGTAAGACCCTAAAGGGGCGGGGTGTGGGAGTGTCTGGGGAGATGGTTTAGAGGTTAAGAGTACTGGCTGCTCTTCCAGAGGTTCTGAGTTCAATTCCCAGCAACCACATGGTAGTTCACAACTAAAATGAAACTTGGTGCCCTCTTCTGGCCTGCCTGCATCCCTAAGGGGATAATTCTCCCTAAATTAGATAGTTCCAATCGAAATTCTATTCTCATAGAAATTTGAAAGCTGGCCTCAAATTTTAAAACAAAAAACTGACAGGGTGTCATGTACCCCAGCTAACCTTGAACTTGCTGTGTAGCTGAGGATAACCTGGAATGTCGGTTATCCTCTTTCTGCCCCTACCTGGGATTTATTTTTAAGTGTGCACAACTACAGCCAGTTCATGCAGTGCTAGGGATCAAACCCAGGGCCTGATGTACCTTATGCAAGCACTCTACCCACTCAACTATATCTCAGGCCCCTCACTATACAACCCAATTGGCCTGAAGATTCTGTAGTCCAGGCTGGCCTGGCCTTGAATTTGTGGTAATCCGTGTCTCAACCTGCTGAGTGCTCTTACATTAGAGGCTTGCACCACACCTGGCCCTAGAGAAATTCTTTATTAGTGTTATTGGCAATGCAAATAGATGTGCAGACTGGAACAGAGAGCCTTAAACACATTCTCATACTAAGAGAACCTGGTAATGTCAGTAGAAAGAAGAAATCCAAGGAGTATATAGATGGGTGTTTCAAAACAGCTTTGCCAAAGGATGGCAGGGGCTCTGATGGTAGAATGTACTCCTTGAATGCTGAGGACATGGAATCAATCCCTGGCATCATAAATAAAGGTGCCATAAAAAAGTCATAGGCAGGGAGATCCAAAGTTTCAAGTTGCAAAGGATACATAAAGTCCTACACACCCAAGATCTTACTAAGTATTTTTATTGCAAAGACTCTTATATTTGAGAAACCAAATCACAACCTGGAAATATTCATTAAACCAATGAGATCCTATTTCATGCTTATCAGTTTGGAGAGTTGCTAGTGAGAATGGCAAATTTAAAACAAATTTAAAAAACTTGGCTAAAGCTGGGTGTGCACAAAACCTACAACCAGCACTTCTAGCCATCGTCTCTACCCTCAATACGCTAGAATATATATATGCTCAAGGGGCCAATTGCAGCACTATACTCTGCAGTGTAAGGAATACTGCACTCTTGAGGAACAGAGAGGATGGCATAGAACATCCTGCAGTCACCTTCAGACATGTCCATCATCTCAAGTGAATGATGGAACACTGAAATATCCTGCTAAACCTGGCCTCCATCTGAGGCTTTGATTTTGAGCACTTCCCTTCCAAGGAATGCCTGAGTTATAAATCAAAGTTGGTTTCCAACTAAATTAATCATTAGGAGCTAAGAAGTGTCCAGCAAAGCTAATGTATTAAAACAGGACGAATAGCATGGTAGTTTTGATGTCGGACTTGGTTTTATAAGCCCACGAGCAATATCTTACCTGTTTCATACCCCAACTCACTTTGTAGACCAGGCTGGCCTCAAATGCTGGGATTAAATGCATGGGCCACAACCAAGGCATGCCACAACCAACTTTCTATTCTCTACATTTTCTTTCCTTGTATCCCACTAACACCAAGTACCAGATAAACAGAACACTCCAGTTGCTTGGGATCTTGCTGAGTGAATGTCCAATACACAACTTTGTGCTTTTTAGTGCTTTTTATTTCAATTCTTTTGGCATATATAAAAGCAGAAAGTGAATATATACATACAGAATTCTAAACATCTTCCTAAAATGGTTTTACCATTGCCCACTCACCATCTTTAAATTCTTAAATATGTCTAAAGTGCATTTTTTGCGGCTAATCAATAGCAGCATTTTTTTTTTTTATAAAACCTTAGAAAATATTCAGAACAGTTGGAAAAGTCACAATAAAAAATACAATGTGATCCAGATACATTCTTCTGTAGGATGATTCAGATACTGCGTCTGGCACAGCTTTGGAGAAATCACCAACACAAACAAAAACATTCTTCGGCCACCAGGGCTATCAGGTCAAGGCTTCTTTCGCCTACAACACAAGAAACAGCATGTAATATTGAATTCTACACTTGGCGACACAGTCAAAACAAATTCTCTTTGTGAGAATTCCTTTTATAAGAAGAAAATTCAAGTCCTTGGAGCAAGAAAGTAACTTACAGAATGTAACAGGAAGTAGCTTCCCTGTTCTTACCCTACTACAGTCATCTTCAAAATTGTCAAAGGAACCAATCCAAGGTGAAAAATGTAGAGAGAGATGTGTAAAGATTGGTTTTATGAAGAATGGAAAAAGAATAGGACAGCTCCCCAGTGTGGATTTAACAGAAGAGCAAATGACATGCTTCATTCATCATGAATTCTGGCATTCAGCTTTACCTATTTATATAACATGTGTACACCTATTCCAAAACTATGAGGTCCATTAGGTAAGAGTGACACACACAAACAATGCTGTCAACCCCAGTGTGAGTCATCCTGCAGAAGTACAAAGAAATCAGACCTCAGCTGAGAGCAAAGTCTTGTCTGTGATCCCAAAGACAGCTAGAAGTCAACATTTTTTGTGTATTAAATGCTTTGCCATATAGCTAATAGACATGCCCCTTTCACCTCCAGCTTTCAGCTCAGCCTCAAAAAGATTTAGAAGTGGCCAAGTGTGAGCAAAAGTCATCAATCTGCTGACATCTCCTCCAGCAGCTCTTACAGCACTCTGGAGAGCACAGCATGACAGAGGCTGACCACAAACTGTCAGCCTGGCCCAGGTAAAAGCCAGAGAGTGAGGCACAGCTGGAGCAGCAGTGGTGATGGAAAGCCTGGGAAAGGGAGTGGTGCTCACTTAGGTTGTGCATGATGCTCATATCCGGGTCCCAGTTGAGATCCTGCTCTCATCTCAACAGCAACTGAACACTAGAGGAAAATGACAAAAGAGGGAAAGGTCAGCTCCCAACAATCCAGAAGCACATGTTCATTTATACGGGCTCTACTGCGATGAAATCCAACAATGCCTTAGTTCAGCGAGGACACCTAGGTTAAACCACTAGTCACACACAATTCATTTCTGCACAGGCAACAAGAACAAGAAGGGCCTGAGAGAGTATCCAGGTATCTTTTCATCTTAGATAAGGAATGAGAGAAAGGGGGGAGTCCTGAAGAAGCTGGTGGCCAGGGCCTTGCCCGATCCTTCCCCCAGGAGCCTCAGAGGTAATGGTCACAGGAAGCACTAGGTGCTGCTTCAGGTTAGTCCATCTGCTATGATTTTCATTAGTCTGGAGCAATACTCTCCATCCACTCTTGAGTCCTTTGTCCCCCATACACGTTAGTGTGCGCGTGCACACAGACACACAGACACACACAACCTCTAACTAAAGACCAGACCTAAAGAAATGCAAGTGCCCTACTAGAATGTTAGTTACAGGCCTCCAGGCTGCAGAGGCAGTATGTTGTCCCACCTTAGCAACTTCAAAGAGCACAAAGTGCTACAGCATTAGGCAGCTAATTTTAGCAAGCAAGTATTTAATTTCACCCCTACCCTTGTTTCTACATCGGTCCATTCAGACTCTGTACCATCTGGTTGGGCAGGTGCTACTGTGGATGATCTTCGTTTTCGACTACTGAAAAAGGGGAAACACGATGCAACAATCATTTTTGCATCTAAGAATGAAAAACATTAGAAGGGGAGAAACCACCTATACCCCTGCGGAGAATTAATGATAAACTTCACAGGGTATCTGTTCCTGAGAAGAGGCTAAGAAACAGCCCTTTTATTAGTGACCAGCACTCACCCAGTCGGCGATTCTTGTTTTAAAGTCTCAATATCAGTAAACTGAACAGATTGTCCACCACCTCTGGTCTTATAAACATCACCCTAAATCCAAGAGAAAAGGTCACTAAATCGACTGATCAAATGTTTCAGAAATTTCAGTCCACCTCTTACTAACTAAAGTCCAACACAGGATAATCAGTAACATTCCTAGCTATGGGGAGTATTTTATTATACCTATAAATTTAAAAGCTAAATTAACCCAGCAGAGGCAGCTCCATGTTTAAGGTGCTGTTGTCCTTCTGGTGGCAGCAGTTATAATTAAAACTGTCGGTCCTCTTGACCTGAAATGTACACCCCCCCACACACACACACACAACTTTTCATAATGGCTATAATGATCACAAGAAATCTTCTATAGGCAGAAAGTCTCTTCTTTCCAAGAAAGAATTGGGGTAGCTCAGTACTGAGTAACTTTCCCAATCAAATTTTGTGCATTATTTACTTTGAAACTGTTAATTTTTTTTCATTTGTTTGGTGTTTTTCTTTTTCTTTCTTTTTTTGGTGTGTGTGTGTGTTGGGGGGGGGAGTGTTTGCTGCCATGGAACCCTGTAAACCAGGCTGGCCTTGAACTAACAGAGATTCGCCTACTGAGTGCTGGGATTAAAAGCGAGCACCACCACCACCTGGCATAGAACATTTTTTTTTTTTTTTTTTGGTTTTTCAAGACAGGTGTTTTGGAATCTGTCCTGGAACTTGCTTTGTAGACCAGGCATTTTAATGCAAACATTTAATCTTGAAATAACAGAATAGGAGATGGTTGTTTTCTTTTGCTGCTATCTGGTTTTTCAAGTTAACTATGTGCTCCAGGATGGGCTCAAACTGGTAACCTGCCTTCCTAGGCCTCCCCATGCTAGGGCTCAGGCAAGTTGTCAATATGGCTCTGGATTTTTTTGTTTTGTTTTATTTTTTGAGACAGGGTCTCTCGGTGTAGCTCTGGCTGTCCTGGAACTCGCTCATGGAGATCTGCCTGCCTTTGCCTCCTGAGTGCTGGGATTAAAGGCATGTGCCACTACCGCCTGGCTGGGTTTACTTTTGAAACTAAGTTTTAGGTAATATGTAGTAACTAAAAGTACATCATGGATCTAGAAGAAAACCCAAGACTCTAAGCCTATTTAAGCAGATCCAGCAGATTCACAACCTAAGCAACTACATTAATTTTCTGCTAAAAGTTCCACCCAACACCCCATTTATATTCTAGATCTCATCAAGGGATAGCAGGTCAAATATTTCTCAGTGCTATTTTTTTATATATATATATATATAAAGACTTGTTTTTACCTTAATTACTTTAGTCTGAATCTCCCCATCGGAGGCTAGTTCCTGGTGGGTCAGCATGTACTTCTCACACTTAGCTAGCGCCTTTTCATTTGCAACAGATACTGTGATGGCATGAGGGACATGTGGCTGCATGACTGTCTCAGTTTGCACATTAGAGGCAGGCTTATGATCTACCCATCTGCTCCCTGCAGAGCGGGACCTTCTGTGTCGTACAGGAATTGGTGTGTTCTGATCAGGTTGAAAGAGGAATTGAGAAACAAGCACAGCCCAGGATTACTTTGAGGTACCATTAGAAGTGCAGCAGTTTACAATGCAAGTTCACAACAACAGAAATCAAACCTGTCCAAGCTAAAGGAGTAAGTCATTTAATGTTCTCTTAGCCAAACAGAACCAACAGACATTTTTAGACAACAGTATAGAGAGAATGGTCATATGGGAGTTTCTGTTTCAATAAAGGGCAAAAGATAAGATTGTGGTGACTCTAGATCCTCTTGTTTATGGCTAGTTCGGGAAAAATAATCCATTTTGTATTCTTGATTAAAAACCAATTATTATGCCTGCTTTGTGAAGCAATACATAGACTAACAGGTCTGTTAAAGGTAACAGCAGGATCAATATAACACATAAGTATGTCTTAGGCACCTAAATAGAAAATATTCCTCCATATACAGCCAGACCAAAAAACTGCAAGCTGTTGAAGCTCTGACTTAGCAAGAAAAGCCCCGAAGAACACAGGAACTTCAGGTGCAGCATGCCTAAACAGTGTCAAGCACTTCTAGGCACTTGCAGTAAAGACTTTTAATATCTCAAAACACATGCCACAAAAGCTTCAAATATACCAACAATTTTTTTCTCCAAATGTTTCCTAAAAGCTCCAAGAATCAAAGACGATAGTATGAAATTAGCTTGTATCATATATAAACACTAGTTGTTTTCCAGTCAAATGCTATGTGTGCTAAGTTAAACAGCACATTCAGCTCAAGAAAATGTATTTCGTGTACATGATATAGTAATATAAGCAATTGTGTCTCCTGTTTGTTAAACAGAGTACAGGCAGAGCCTTTCCAACCTATCCAAATGAGGATTCTGATTCAGTTATTCAGTTATAGGAAACCAGCTCAGGGACAGCTCTAATGACACGTGTACAACAGTCACCACAACTTGCCACTAAAGACACTGAGCTTCCATGCAGGCAGAAAACTTTCCACTCTGAAAATGGTTTGATTGATGTTAAATAAGAAAACCTAGCTCTTAGAATCTAGCACTTGGCAGAATAGCATCCCTGAACACATTTACGGCATAATACATTCAAATCAAACTTTGAAAAGGGGACAAACTGCAGAGAATCTACTAGCAGTCATGACAAGTATTTTGAAACTCTTTCCTCACCAAAATGTAAAGCTCAGTCTTCCTGATAATTTCTGACCAATGAACATGGACACAGAGATATAACCTCATGGAAACTTTTCTGCTGCACTTCTAAAAAGATTTGGATTTCAAGAAAAAAGTTAAAGTCTGTGTCTTAGTACATCCTCCTGACTGTCGCATGGCTAAGTCAGGCATTTTCTTACTGCTGGCAGGTATAAAACAGACCTGATAAAAAAGAGTCTGGAGTCTGATAAAAAAGAGGAGGATTTACTAAAAGTGATCACAGAGACCATTCACCATGATTGGCTCCCTGAAAGGCTTAAAGTAAAATCTGCAAAGCTAGAATTTAGGACTGTAGAAGTGTCTGCTGCCTTAGAAGAACCCAAGACTGATAATCATCATTAGCAATCAGATTGCAGGGCATTTATCACATTCTAAATCCTGTAAGAATATCTTTCTGGTTTTTGAAACAGGGTTTCTCTATGTAACAGCCCTAGATGTCCTGGAACTCATGCTACAGACCAAATTGGCCTCAAAGTCACAGAGATCCACCTGCTTCTTCCTCCCTAATGTGATTAAAGGCATGCACTACCACCACCCAGCAGGTAAGAGGATCTTATGCAAGTATTTACTACAAGATCATTTTACTTAGAATAATTTTAAAAGAGCAATTAAGATTTTATTGAATATCTAATTCACAGTATTAGTGTGATGATTTATTCAAATTTCAAGGAAAATTTATCTTAATATTGAAGAAAATATTAATTAGGTATAGTTAATCACCTCAAGATTAAAATTTCAGGATGTGAAAACTGTCAGTAGTTTCAAACAGTTCAGATCACAAAAATTAAAAAGGTGAAAGCATAGGAAAGATTGGTGATTGCCACATGCAGTGTGTGCATCTGGACAGCAGCATGGGTTGAAAGGAGAAGCCATCACTGGGTCACGTAGGACAGTGAGAGGCTCTCCACTCAAGAAATACTGTCTGCCTTACAAGTGGTGAAGAGGTGGTTACACAGGGAAATGCTCTTTTTTTTTTTTTTTTTTTTTTTTTTGAGTGTCACAGCACCTGTGACTTACTTCAGAGTATCTCAGAAGAGGAAAGCCTCTTGCATAAAATAATAGTGACTGCCAATAGCAGAGGCAGGAGAGTCTATAACCCATTAATTAAACTTTTAAAATGGGGATGGCAGGGGAGGAGGGGAGGGAAAGGGACCTGGGATTTACATGTAAAATAATTTTCTTTTTAATAAAATAAAATTAAAAAAACAAAACAAAAAAACTTTAAAAATGAAATCCCACTCCCCACCCCCGAAAAACAAAAACAAACAAACAAACAAAAAAACAGCAAGAAAAGTTATATTTTGGGAAGGGGAACCAAAAGAAAAAAAAAGTATAGTCTTATACATTCATATTTGGGTTGGGGAGATTATAGCTTGGTGATAAAGCAATTGCTTAGCATCTTAGCATGTTGAAACCCTAAGGCTCAATCACCAGCAACAAGGGGGGAAAAAATAAGGAACAAACAAACAAAAAACCCTGAGAGGGATCAAGGAAGCAGCAAGACAATCATATTCCTAGATTCTGTGCAAAGCCCCTTGTTCAGGCTGGCATTCAGGGCTCACAGGCACAGGCTTCTGCTTTCTCACATGAAGAGCTCAGCCTCAATTCAGGGTGGCTCAGTCTTTAATACAAAAGTCAGAGCTTCTTCATTTTGGAAGCTACCCATCTTTCCATCAAACTTTTCCAACCAAGTTACAAAGAGCAAATGAGGTAAGTCTGTCACTACAATGCTTTAAAGAATGCTGGCACTAACCCTGTGGCAATGGTCCTCTTCTACGCCTATCTCACTGCTGAATGTAGGGACCATCTCCCTGCCTTCAGTCCAGTACATCCCTCGCCTTCTGTCTGACACGATACATGTTTTACTTTGTCCTGGCTCCTGCTGCCTATGCCTTGCAAGAGAGGTGACATTGACAGGTGTGCTGAACGGAGATAGTTTCTGCTCCCATTCCGAAATACAGGAAGCTACAGAAATGCTGCTGCAAGAGTTAGAGCGCCTGTGTAGCTGTGGTTGGCTCATGAGTTGCTGGCCGTTGGAAATCTGAGCAATATTGTTACTAGAAAGCTAGAAAAATTGGAGAAAAATTAATGAATAAGACTGAAAAACTGAGAGAAACAATATTACTTTTCTACAATTATTACTACATTAAGATTTAACATTGTGAGAAACTGTTTGCAGTCATTAATTTTTGTGATATGCTTTTGCTGTTTTTCTGAGACAAGGACTCACTATATAGCCGTGGTTAGGTCTGGAACTTTGTGTAGACCAGGCTGGCCTATCTCCCTCCCAAATGCTGGGATTAAAGGCATGAGCCACCATTCCCTGCCCTTTTGTGCTAAGTTTCAAAAATAGAACCTTAAAAAAATAACATGAAACAAACAATTCTCACAGAGAAACCTCCTCTAATTGGAATAAATTTTCTCTAGCACTAAGCTACACATACTAAGTGTGTAAGCACTAAGCTGCAAACACTTACAGGCACAGGCGAAGGAGAGACCGATCTCTGAATGATTTTTTCCTGGTCCCTTTCTCGGGAGGGTCTCTCTGGCTTCTCAGGTTTTGGTTCAGTCACAATGGCCCTCAACTGTTTGAGCTTTTCATCTTTGACCCACAGTTTATTCTGCATCTCCAGCTGGGTGGCTGCCACCCGACGTTCCTATGGGGATCAATGGAAAATTACAATCTACTTTACCACTCTGCATAAGCACACCACCCACTTGAAACTGACAGTTCTCTACTTCTTCCAGAATTAACAGATACCACCAGAGCTCTGCCACAAGCACAGAAATACAAAACATTTAACCTAAGGAAAACACTCACACATTCCTTCTGCCATTTCATCGATGTTTCTGTCACCATGCCTTGCAACCTGGCTTCTAATCTGCGCTTGTCAGAAAACTGCCGCTGAAGCTTCTGATTCTGGCTCTCAAGTTCCTGCTGCAGATTGCGTTTATCTTCTTCATAGATCGTGGTTGTTTTCTCCAAAATCTCGATCTGCAAAGGAGACCACTGTGCTTATCATCTGCTGTGCAAACACCTCACCTAATTGTACAATAAATAGTCCTTCAATTGCTCACAAAAGCAAATTTGTGGAAACACAGAGGGAGAAGGAGGGGGAGGGAGGGAGGGAGAGAGAAAGAGAGAGAGAGAGAGAGAGAGAGAGAGAGAGATTGAGACATCACTTTTGCTCTCACTTGAATCCTCAGTTCCACTTTGGTCTAGAAAGAAGCTACTCAACAAACCCCTCAAGCCAGGGGCCTACATCTCCTCAAGCTAAGTTCTACTTCTAAGATTAAAAGACTACACATTCTCTTCCTCCCTTCATGCCCCTTCACAGCAGTGACAGGCATATGAGGTGTTCTGAAAGCAGTGCCCAATGGGCAGTAAGTACACAGGTGAAAATGTGACCACAAACCTTATACTCCAATGTTTTATTTTTCTTTTCCAGTCGTTCTATTTCTGATTTCTGTCCTGAGATCAATTTTTCTTTTTCATTTAGTTTTTCCTGAATGTAGTTTTCTTTATTTGAAAGAGAACTGTCAAATTCTTTTAATAAGGCTTTGAAAGTCATACCTGAAACAAAGTATACAGATTGTGCTGTTTAATGCAGATATAAAACAAAACCAATTTTCTTTGGCAGACACTTGGTAGAATGTAGCACTCTAGCAAATCCCCCTATGGCAAATGTACATAAGAAAGGCTGGGAATGAAGCTGTCTGTTACATATCTGCTTTGTATATGCATGAGGCCCTGGGTTCAACACCAAAAAATGAAAAAGACTGAAACAAGTTTGGTAAGAAATCAGGAGTTTGGTTCTCATATCTATAAGAGATGTTATAGGAGCTGGAGAGATGGCTCAGAGGTTAAGAGAATTGATTGTTCTTCCAGAGGTCCTGAGTTAAAATTCCCAACAACCACATGGTGGCACTTAATCATCAATAATGAAATCTTGTGCCCTCTCTGGCAAGCAGGCATATATGCAGACACTGTACTAAATAAATAAATCTTAAAAAAAAGAGAGATGTTCATAGAAGTATTTTGTAACCTCTCTCTAACACTTAAAGCTTGCTTACAAATGCAAAAACAGAAATAATCCTGTATTTCAGATCAGCTGAGCCTGGGCTGAAGACCTTAGCATACTGCTTGGTCACTCACAGAGACACAGTCACTTCCATGGACTAGACTTGTTCAATTGTTCTACACATTTTCAAACATCATTTCACTTTTCCCTACACCACATTGAGGTACCAACAATTACAAAATATAAATTACTTGCCAACAGGGGAAAACTATATAATATCTTGTATCCATCACTATTAAAAGTAAACACAGATGAGGAGACACCCACTTTTTTCTCCTTATATTCCTTAAAAGTAAAATTGAGCTGTTGAGGAAAACAAAACCTTGCCATTCAGATTAAAAAACATCTTGAGGCCACTACAAAGCCAAGAAACAAGTCTTCCTTAAAGAGATGTCTCACCAAGTGGAGTCACTAAGACCTGTTTCTACCTCTGAAGTCACAGTAGCTGTAAGCAGATCTGTTCTTACATTGTCTGTTAAGCTCCTCAGTCATTACTTGGCGTAGGCGATGTCGTTTCTCCAAAGTTTCGATCAGCTTTGGAAGGGTCTCCTCATCATTGATATCCAAAAGTTTGCATGGAGGCAGTGGTGGGAAGCTCTGTAGACTCACTTCAGTCACCAAAGGTTCTGTATTGAATTTAAAATTATGAAAGAGCTTTTAAGCAAGTCTGATGCTGTGAGCAGAACCCCTGAACCAGTAATCACAGAATTTTATCTTTTTTTTTTTTTTTTGCCCTCAACTTACTCAGTGCTAGAATTACAGGTATTCTTCACTACACCCTGCTTTAGGCATGGGATTTCTCAAAAACTTATCTAATATTTTATCTAAACATATAACCAAGGAACCTTACTTTTTAGTTCAAAGTTTCTTGCATTTGGTTCTTGAGAAGGGTGTAAATAGATTTTTTTAAAGTTTACAGAAAGACAAGCAATTGAATAGCAATATAGCATGAAATCATACCATCTCCAACTGGGCCGCCCCGAGGCAGGTTTCTATATCGTCTCCCTGGTGTCAAGCCACATATCACCTTGTCTACTGGTCTCGCTACTTCAACTTCTTGGGTTACTTCAGCAAATCTCATAACTTGCTAAAAATACAAAGCAGAGTCTGTAAAAGCAAACCTACTCAAGTACCCCTTTACAGATGGCTAAATAGCTCTGTTTACATAGCCAGAGACCATCTATTAATCTACAAAATGTGCAGTGTGACTTTTTTTTTTTTTTTTTTTCCCTGAGACAGGGTTTCTCTGTATTGTTTTGGAGCCTATCTTGGAACTCTTATCTGTAGACCAGGCTGGCCTCAAACTCACAGAGATCTGCCTGTCTCTGCTTCCCAAGTGCTGGTATTAAAGGAGTATACCACCACCACCACCTGGCCAGTGCGCCATTCTTGAGGTAGCTGTTTTCCCTAAAGAAACCCAACTGTATAGGACAAATACACTTAAATTACCAAGCTTTCTTCATAATCTTCAGCCTTTGGATTCACACACACGATCATCCGCACCTTCCCTTCCCCATCAAAGTAGTTCTTGAACAGATGAGTTAGCTTTGAATCTCGATACGGAACCATCTATAAAGACATTCAAAACCTAAGCATATTAGACAATTAAAATGCATGATTAAACCACAAAGTGGTTGACTAAGGCTGCTGTGTACCTTGTTAGTTCCATATGTCTGGTTCTCTCGAAGGACTTCCATGCATGTTCTAAGCGTCATCAGTGACTGATTAATGTTACCTGAGAGGAAGTCAGACACAGAAGACATTTGAAAACAGCAAACGTAGTACATAATACATCTGTGTGTTTGTAAAACCTAAACTTCATTTAACTGCTGGGAAATTATATAGATCTTCATGGTTCAAGTTCAAGATATGTCCATTATGGTCCCACTATACTTTCAACTATATTAATCTTAATAGCTTCAATAACCATCTTTCAGGGACTCCATTGAAAAGACTCTCCAGGGCTGGAGAGATGGCTCATGGGTTAAGAACACTGCTTGCTCTTCCAAAGGTCCCAAGTTTAATTCCCAGCAA